GATGCGGTGGATCTGGGGAAGCCACATCCTGCCGTATTCCTGCATTGTGCCGCTGAGCTCGGCGCACAACCGCATGAATGCCTGGTGCTGGAAGATTCGGTGAACGGGATCATTGCGGGCAAAGCGGCGCGCATGAAAGTGATTGCCGTGCCGGATCAGCTGCACTTTGATGATCCGCGCCTGTCTATCGCCGATCGGAAGCTGATGTCTCTGGAGGATCTGGACCTGGATGTGTTGCAGGCGATGTAAGGATGGGAAGCTATACAGATAAATAAAAGGACATTATGCAAGCATTAATATGGCGTACTGAAAAAGCAGAGAATAGTTGTGCGCTTCTTTTTGCCTGATAAATATGAGTTTTAGCAGAGAAATAGTGCGTGCAGCCTCATCGGGAATGCTTATTGGCTGGCAATTAGCTTGTAAGGAATTAGGATTACGAATGCTAACTGTCTCATACACATCACCTTTGCGCATTTGCAAAGTTTTAAAACACAGTTAAACCTGCGTTAAACTGCTATACATATAGTTGCATCGATATGCCTTGCTGCTATTTTTGTACCTTCGCCGCCTTTATAAAACAGCGTATATTTTTCCTGGTCCCTTATGGATTATTATCAAGCTATTGACAAGTCGCGTGTGCCGAAGCATATCGCCATCATCATGGATGGCAATGGACGTTGGGCAAAAGAACGTGGAGAAGATCGTGTCTATGGTCATCATGAAGGCGTGTTAAGCGTCCGTGATATTGTAAATTCCAGTGCTGAAATTGGGGTACAATACCTGACGCTCTATGCGTTTTCTACTGAGAACTGGAACCGTCCGAAGGCAGAAGTGGATGCATTGATGGAGCTGTTGGTGAATACGATCCGCAAGGAAGCAGAAGAGCTGAAGAAGAATGGGGTACGGTTGCATGTGATCGGCGATTTTGCCAGTCTGCCAGCCATTTGCCAGAAAGAGATGCAGGAAGCCATGGATATGACTGCTCACAATACACGCCTCAACCTGGTGCTCGCCCTGAGTTACAGTGCACGCTGGGAAATGGCCAACGCTGCCAAGCAGATCGCATTAGCGGTGGAGAAACAACAGCTTGACCCGGCAACTATTGATGAA